AAGTGCATTCCCGGGCCGAATGCCTCCCCAGGACCGCGATATCAATCCTCACGCACGTCTGGGCCCTGCGTATAACACCTAAAAGTTTTGGCGGGAAAATCGCTAACTCGAAGCGAGAAAAGCGAGAAAGCTGGAACTTTAGGGGAATGTTCTCTACTAGTATGGCTGGAAGATTTCAAATTCAGCTGGCTAAGACTACGCAGGACTCACGGGGCACGTGAAAATTTTGACGGAAAAATTGATAACTCGAAGATAAGAAAAGCTATAAAGCTGAAAATTTGGGGGAATGTTCCTTATTCACATATAACCCGAAATTTTCAAATTCGGCTCCTTATAATCGTCCGGGACTCACGTACGGACACCTGAAAGTTTTTGGGAGCAAATTGCTAACTCGGAAATGAGAAAAGCTGGAACGCTGGAATTTTAGGGGGATGTTCCCTACTCATGTGGGGCTAAAAGATTTCAAATTTAACTCGTGTTGTGGGGCCTTTTCCGCACGCCAAAAACTTTCCATTTGTTGCATCATTGAAGTTGACATCTACAGCTGACACATCAAATAGCTGCACAATTAACTTCCCGAACTTCGAGGGCCACAGTTTCACATATTCTAGCTATTTTGTTTCACTGCGATCTTGCTACAGCATGAAAAGTGCAAAAGCGCGTGATCGTGTCGGCCCACCTGGTGCGTTCCAGCCTGGGTTTGGTAGAGCAGCTGGTTTCTTTGGCAGCCGCTGGTTTAGTCTAGAAGTTATTTGCTTTTGATGCGCCTAACATCCGGAGAAATTAACCTGCCTTCGAAATGATCTGGAGCAATCTGCAGAAGGATAGAACCACTAATATTTGTACCGGTGGATAGTTTTTAAAATAATATCATAAGGCTGCTTTCGGGTGCATTTCGTTCTTGCAGCGAGTAAATATGGTGGAATGGGTTAACATCACCTCATGTAGTTTAATTTATTACAACATAAGCGCGGGATTATGCCCACCCTGTAATTTGTTACCAACGACTTCATCGACAACTATTAAAACTCGGCTGGGCTTAGCCGAATTGAGAAAAGGGTTGGTAAAAAGGATGGTGATAAAGGGGTGGAGGTGATTGAGCAGGGATGGGGAAGGTGAGGGTCAGGTAGTTTGGATCTCGTGGATCGTAACGGATTGGGCGGGAGTCATTGACTGGAAAAATTCTGGTTGAAGGTAAGATTTGGAAACCGGCAAAGTTCATGGTAAAGACTGCCTTTATGGGTCTTTTATACCCGTCATGAAACTTGGTGCTGAAGGGAAGTTAGCCGCTCAATATGCGCTCATTTTTAGGTTCGGGTTCGAGTAGCGAAAATCGTGGGATCGGGTTTTTTGTCTAGGTAAGTCTCCAGATATCGCGTTTAAGAAGGCTAACTTCCTTCGGTATTAAGCTTCATGTTGAACATAAGCCCAGGCTGGAACGAACCAAGCTTGCCGGTGCGATCATGCGTTTTTGCGCTAAACTCGCAGGTCGCTAATAGCAAGAATGGTCCCTGCGCTGTAGCCTAACAATTGGGCTCATACTGGCCGTGCTTTGGCCCCTCTCAGCATGCAGGAGAAAGAGTGTCGGTTGGGATGAAAGTAGTGCATTATTGAGCCGTACGGGCTTCCAGGTACGTGATTGCCAGCTTTTTGCATGAAACCTGATTGTTTTTTCGGTAAATACTCGCTTTCTGAAAAAGTGAAACATGCAGATTTTTCGAAAAATTGCAAATTTCTAGTTCACTAAAAAGCGGAAGTGTTGCTCGAGCGGTCGTTTGTGGAAAAATTCAAGTATGCAAATGAACTGAATGTTCATCTAACATATTTGGATGAGGGCGGTTGTTCGCTGCCAAATGCACTCGTTTCTGATTTTTTGGTAAAGTTGAGTATTTCTCACACCTACTTAAAAGAAATTCCACCTCCAAGCAGAATTAGGACGGCACTTGAAAGTATAATATCCCAGCGAATTGTCAGCCTCGCAGCTTATCCGGCAAATGAAATATCCACTTCG